TGATGGAAACGTGAAGGAATGTGCAAGTCTTAGATGGATGTGTGACTGCTCCGTTATCCGAATTTTCCCCATCCGAACCCCCTGGAGAAAGCGTGCGCCCGAGGGGTGCGGATAATCTACACTCTGCTGTAACAGTTATGTACAATGCGTGCCGATGCACATTGGACAACGTTGCAAATGTAGAATTGTAGGTGGACTGTGGTTCACATTAGACGATCGGAGTACCCCCACCAAACGAAGAGAGCTCAACATCACAAGGTAGAGCTTGCATGTACAATCGAAAAAGAGTACATAATAATACCATTAGCTGATGTTGTTAGTGTGCGTTACGAAGTCTGAAGAAAATGTTGAACGATCTCGGCTGGGATGACGGCTTCACCTTAGCTCAGTGATTAGAGCATCGCTGGCCTCAAGCGAAGGTCCCTGGTTCGAATCCTGGTGGTGACAGTCAATTTTTTCTTCAGACCTTTCCCGTTTGTGTCTTTCCCTCTAACCAGTGAATATTACTGTTAGCTTCGTACTTTGAGTGATTATCACTTACAGTTACATATACAATGTACTTGATAATTTCTTAGCGCATGATAATCGGAGTCAGTACCACAATATTCCTCCCTCACTATATGAGTCTAGATACTTTGAATGTGGAACAGGGTCCAGGACAGGATCGTCTGCTCTATCCGAATTATGGCCTGGTTGCAATTTGTCTATTTACCAGCAGGTACATCGCACCAGGGAGTCATAGCACCTACACTGTAGGGAGACTACACAATACTTTATAGAATTTTGGTTCAGGATTTGGAGGTTCTCCGTGATCTGTGCAACCCGCGATCACGGCCTTGACCTACTGACCCTGAGAACGGCTCAGGTTAGCAATACCATGTACGAGCGTGTATAGATCTGCCCAATGGTGCCCCAAGGGTGGCTGAAACAGGAACCCCTGGGTCGAACCCCATGTCATTTAGCTTTACAGTCGCCTGTGCCGTCTACCTAGATGCTACAACTCCCTGCGTTGCACCCAGTAAATGCAGCACATCAAGTATACAGCCATGTAGTGTTGGATGTCACCTGTTCTGATCGTGTGATATCACAAACAATCTTCTACGGTCCATTCATTTTTAACCTGGCACGTTAGGGGCCGTCCATAATTATCTATCTTTAACAGATTGAGTATCTTTGAAACGAGAAAAAAAATCGTTCATGGGCGGGTGGGTCAAGAAGGGTTTCGTAATGAAAAATATTGATAGCTGAAACACTAGTCCATTCCAGCTATTTTTCGTTGAGGGGTGAGTAGGTGGGGGTGGGGGACGGTCACAAGTTACTCATAACTAAACTTTTCATTTCGTGAAAATTATCGATAATGCCGGGTCCATAATTGTCGATCTTTTACACGAAGAGAAAAAGTTTCGTTTGTGGGTGGGTCAAGGGGAGTTTCGTTTCGAAAAAATATTGATATTACAGACATCAATCGGGGGGGGGGGGGGGGTGGAGGAGGGTCCTTCTTTCATTTCGTGAAAATTATGGATAATGCTGGATAGCTCCTTTAGTCTATGCAATAAAATAGTTGTTTTCTTCACACAGTACCGTAAAGTTTAAACAATATCCGGCCATGTTTGTACCGAACATTTTTTCGAAAGGTAATTTCTCAAATGTTGCCTTGAGTACGTTCTCAGCAACATAGCGGGCCAGTTTCAAATAATTGGACTGCAAACTTGCATCGCTGGTTGTTGCAGCTCCATCACAGGTCGTATCACGGGAAATTGAGTCCAGCTTCACTTCTAGGTTGGGTGACACGTAATGGGCATCACTTCCTGCATGCTGGTGCATGTGACTCAAGAGCTCTGGCTGGCAAGCAGTTTTAGACTGCAGGTGCAATACAAGATTTTTCTGCGATGTGCTATGCATTGTGCATTGCATTTCTCGAGAGACACTTCACGCTATGTGAAAAAAAGAATTTCGCTCCATGTGGTATTGTGCATCATGCAGTGCAACTTTACCACAAAACTGGACTCAAAGCACCTTATAGCTAGCTGTGGTTCACAGCAAAGATTTTCCTATTTGCGACTCTTGGTTTAATGGGTGCAGTAGCATGCATGTGCCTGGTGATATTGTTGCAATGGATCATAGTGAGGGCGTAGCAGTACTTGTGCACTGATAGTTGGTAATGGCATGAGTACATTACCAAGAGTGGGCAACTCGATGATCCCTCTGCCCACGGCAGAAAGTTTCATCACTTCGGTTTTTGTGGGCCATTGGGCTCATTAATACCATCATGCGTAGCCAGAGATCAAAACTTGTACATCACAGCTACGGTAGTTGAAGCAGAACAATGAACTGTGGATCCATGCCTACTGAACCTGATGAAACACTCTATCTACATGGCACATGTAGAAATATATGCGCGCTTGCTCATAATCATTGGATTTCGAAGCCGATCGCACCTTATGTTAGTAGTTGCACATTCTTAGCAGTTATGTAGTTTGATAATAACGTTACGATAGATTATCAATACTGGTGGAAACGTTATGCTGGTTGCATATTTTGTACCCGGTGTGCCATGACCAGGCATGCTAATTCATCGGATATTAGCAAGTTTGCCTGCCTGCTGGGTGTTGCATCTTAGCTTCACTGTACTACAAATACGATAGGCTTAGTTTTCCTAAATTGCTTCTTTATAACATCCAGTTTGTTTTGCTGCAATCTTTTCACGTGTTTTGCAGGATTGTAGACAAGGGTGAATACCATTATCATGAGCGAAGGTCTCTGAGAACTCATGTCTGAAGGCTGGTCATGTTGGCCCAACGATGACTTTCATTGCCTGTATCCGCCACCTTCATACTGGAATGAACTGGAACATGTTCACTCTCTGTTTCTCATGTGGAAGGACGGAACAGATTGTTTGTCTGTCTCTGTGGATCACCGAAGGCTGAACAGTACAGTTGGAAGAATATTGGATCTCACGAAGTGACTGAATCTGAAGCGGCTGACATGCATCTGCACAGCGCTTTCTTTCTGAGATTTGCTTCAAGGCAGGTTATTGTGTACAATTTTGTCCACAGTATTCCTATATTTGCCAAACGTATTTCTCTGATAGTATTGTGACTACACACGCGCAATGATCTCTCCGTCATCAGTCTTTCGCAATGATGTGGCTCACTGACGACAGCATGCATAGCCATAGATCAAATGAGCAGCTGAGGTAGTTGAATCAGAAGAATGGATCAATGCATCCTGAACCTGGTGTCCTGCCTATATGCACCCTCAGTAGTATTTGTAACGTGTTAACTATGAAGTATCAACATTGCTTCTCTTCTATGTGGGTGGTGTGAGTGAATGTCAGATGGTCTGTACTGCCATGGCCGATGGTGTTCACTGGAAGATGTTGGGTTGGACCATTGTGCCCTCTTGCAATATGCTGTTCCAGCCTGAAGGCAATGAAAAAGTTCGAATGCTGATCTGCTTTCAAGCGTAGAATGTTACATTATGTGCATTACATATTTGCATAATTATGTTTTGTACTGGAGTGTGAATGTGCGGCAAGGGCATGCACATGTAAGTATATCGCGCTGCAAACAGCCTAAGAGTTCACGTGGTGTGTGATAAGTACACTTTTGGAAAGTGCGTGCACAGTCGAATCATGTAATGTTAAAACAGCCTTCGTGCTCCTCCCTGAATGGCTGCACAAGTAGAAATCTCCGTCTTCCTTTGCTTCTTTTTGCTTGAGCTGGCATGGTGGTCGTAGAGTTGGAAATTGTCAAGTATGATAACAATCGTTGTTTGGTCTGGAGACAAGATTGCATTTGGATATTTGTCCCAGGACTGCATGGCTTCCCAAACTGCATGTTGAATGCCATAGATGATTATTGTTCGGTTCAAGAAAGGACTCGTGGGTCTGTCTGGCTATTGTGAGCTCTCGCTAGTCCATTTCCATAGCACTTGCTCTGGATTCACTCACTGGAATATTCTCCAGTATAGAACAAGAAGTTTAGAAAACCTACTGGTGATATTAGTATGTTATACTAGTTTCTCCGCACTGTACCGCAGCTTTTGTTATCACACACATGCGGGTTATATAGTTTATCTACAATCCAGCATGATGTTCTTCCAAGAACACCCCCGACCTAGGCCCTCGGAACGACGTTCTTTGGTGTGCAACATCACTTATAGTTCTAAATCTTAGAATTACCGGTAAGCGCAGGATTTTAGTGATCACGGTTCCAAATGCATGTCATTGCACTCCACCTTTGGGACTTATTAAACATGTCATTGCACTCCACCTTTGGGATTTATTAAGAGCTGCATGCATGCCAAAGCTTGTCATAAAAGAAGAGCAGACTTAAATAGGCATCTTGTACGCATGATTTCTAACATGTAACATCCCTGCCGAAGAGTGTTCTTCCATACTACAGTAGATTGAGCGTCCAAGAACGTTGTGTCCAAGAGGTTAGCCTGGGGTGTTCTTATTTTTCAGCCATCCGGCTGCGCTCTTGTAGCATGTTCTTAGAAACAATCATGTTAGGATCATAATTATGTATCCCGAAACCTACCGAAAAACCAACACCGCCATTCTTTTAAACTTAAGGCGGTGGTGTTCTTAGCATTTCAGGCTGGACATTCTTGGGCAACACGTTCTTCGGCGCCTGACTCTACTGTAGTACTGTACATGAAATACAGCTGCTACAACTGTAGTAATATAGAATGCTGATTATCCGAATGATTGATTGTCCGAACTGCTCAGGCTGCATGGCAGCAGGCTGTCATCAACATGCACCATGATAATTTCGAGGAGCTGGAGTGTGTGCCAAAAAGAATGAGAAATGAAAGTATGCATGAGAAAATGAGTATGTTTTAGATGAGTGTTTTCCCACGCCCTTATCCGAACATACATGCACTCGATCGCCATAACCCCTGGCACACAGCACACAGCTTCAGAACCTGACAGAGTATGATATGGGTATGTCACAAGTACTCCCAGGTCCCGAAGCTTTCGTCTCAACAAAGGATCATAATCGACGACTTGTAATGAACTACATTTTGGTGGTATAAAACCGTACTTGTTTACGAATGAGTTTAAAAGCATGAGAACTATCCACAGCAGACATTCTCACTGTTCGGAGTTGCCTAAAAAGTGGTGCATGTACAAATCAGGGATGGGTAAAATACAGTGTACCAACATCTGAGGTGAGTCTATCAGGAAAGTGAATGTCGTCCACTCTATAAAATGGGGTCCCTCAAGAAAGATGGGATTTTGCAGCCATGGACGTTTCCAGCCAGGTGACTGTATATACAGTGATCTAAGTTATGCAAAGCTTGACATGAATGATTGGCTGGACACGTCGAAGAGAAGGAAGAGAGAAGCAGACCAACCTTACACCAGCTGAGTGTAGTGGCCCAAAACAACAAACTAATTCTGTGTGGCCTTAGAGGAGCTGGGCAAGATGTGTACAGTGAATTAAACAATACAGTAAACGTGGGAGAAGAAGTGACAAGACTGAGTATGATACACTGTGCCAGCACAGTGCACATACTAGTGCAACTGTTGGTGTAATTACAGTTAGCCCACACAAGCAGGTCACTCGATTGTAGATACACAGAGCGCATTCTACATCATACAAAACATGTTGAGCTAGGCAGCAGTGGCTGGCATTTACCGACATACACCAATGCCAATGCGCGGCTTGAGCAAATATTACAAGCCTCAGAACACCCATACGCCATTTTAGAGACAGAACAAGGCGATGAGTAAGCACCAAAGGATTATATGAATAGCGGCCAGGCAATAATTCAGACCACTGCTGCTAATCAAGGACTAGTTCCTAGTACTAGTATGTTGTCAGTGTACCCTGAAACGATGCAATCACAGCGAACGTGATACATGCACATCATGTTGCCTGGTTCTTGGTTAAAAGTTGTATCCTCAATGCTTGAGGTTTGTGGGGTCCCTCCAGCTTCTCAGAGTCCTGCATAAAAAAGATAAAAGCAAGTGCAGGTAGAATAATAGTAAGCTCACATAAAACCTCTTCGTCTTGCTAACAAATTTCGTGATTAAATCCACAGCATGGGAACGAAGCTACAGGAAAAAAGTTCAACCATAATAATGCAAAAAGGCAACTTTAGCTAATCATATTTTTGGCAGCAACACTATACTGTTTGTATAGGAGAGTTGGCTTGGTGCATTCATGCCAAAATGAACTCCCTATAGTATTGTATTACTGTACTTCATCATTTTACTTGAGCATTCATTCCCAGTAGCCCTAATGTCTTCTAACAGAGTGCGCAAGGTACTGCATATTCGGCGCATATTTTATTTTTGGCTAATATCGGCCTGTGCATTTTTAATTCGGAAAGTGGTGGACATCACGCAACTGAATTGTAAATAAAAGGAGGTTTGTCAACTGACAACCGCATACTTTTTCGACATCACTAATAAAAGAATTTTGCGTCCAGTGCATGTGCCAGGAGTGAATAGCAACTGAATAGAGCGGTTGTCATTTATTTACTAGAGGAAACGCAAAAGGTAACAAGATTACGTAACCAAAGGTGAGAAGGCACTGAACAAACTGTCAACCTACGAATACAACCTCAGTGCAACAACGTGCTCTTTCTGCTTACACAAGCAGAAAGAGAAAGAGCATGTTGTTGCACTGAGGTTGTATTCGTAGGTTGTATTCGTAGGTTAACACTTCGTTCATTGCCTTCTCCCCTTTTATGTACTGGGCATTTGTAGCCTAAAATTTGTTTCGCAAGGTTCAATGTGACAGTGTATACAGGTATCAGCAGTACAGGCTGAAATTTCAATGTGGCCGAGATGTGCTTTTGCCCTGGGGAGGCTGCAATTTAAAAGCGTCGAAAATTTGCATACTTTACAACACAGTACTGAGCATGCGGTGAGCTGATGACGAAATGAATTGGAGGTACTAATAATGCTAAGGGATTCGGGGGCGCATCAAAGGGGTCAGCACCAAGGAATGGGATAGATTTGTGCCCAGTTCAGGTATGTATATTGGGTATAGAACGGAAATTAATGGCTTAGCCTCGGGCGACTCCTACCAGTATTGCCACCAATGGCCCATGGCTGCTGATCTCTGTGATAGAAATGAGACGTGTATGTGAAACCAAAATACGGCTTTTCAAGATATACTGTAAGACATGTTATTATAATGAGTCGCTAATTTAACGATTGTCCAAAATTCATAGGTTAACGATCTTGCAGTATTCTGCCATATCCACACACAGCATATATGAAGCAGTAAGGCCTCAACGGATCTTATTATAACGAAGAAATGTCATCCGTTAAAACGTTAGATTTGCTTCCTCGTTATATAATATATACTGTAAGACATGATTGTATATTATAAAATCATGTCTTACAGTATGTGCATTTTGTGAAGATCTGATGTAAGTCATTAGGGACACCTTGTTGGGTCTTGCCAACATTCAATTATTATGATGTTCATATCTATGCAATAACGTTAATGGAATTATCAGCAAGAATCAATAATCCCAAGAGTATGCAGCTTTGCACATGGAGTCTGCCACAACACGTTTACCAAAGTACATGAATCTAGACACGAGCTGAGGAATCAGCTGAGCTGCTGCATCATTTATGATCTGCTATAGTTTCCAGTCTCCATGGAGGTTTTTCTTGGAGACGTCGAATCTACAGTATTAGGTGTGAAACTGTTGTACTAAACTGCAGGAGATAGACTCTATTCAGCTCGGACAACATTTCACAAGCACGCCGATCAAAGCTTGCTACACTCCCGTTTAGTCAACTTAACGGCCCAAATAATGCTTGGGTCATGAACTCATCGCTGTTGGTCTTTCGAGGGTGCCTGACAATGGTTGTTAGTGCACAGCACCTGCCGGGCCAAATGACAAGATCAGAGACATAGATCTTCCTAGTTCAATTGCTGAAAGGTGACTTGTGCAAACGTTATGTAGCAAAAGGAACTGTACTATGGTACTACACGCCATTCACAATAATCAAAAATGCCCACTTGACAAAACAGAATTTCATCAACGGAGTCCCGGGATTTTTTATTCTGTACATATGCATTATGGAGTCATAGCATAAGGGAGACGGCACGGTAGACTTTCAGCCTAAATCATAACGAGGGCCAGCTGGGCAGCTCGAAAGAGAGCTCTATGCACTATTGGCAGAGTGGTATACATGAATAGAGAGTGACCACCCAGTGCATGAAGCTTTTCGTGTCACCCTAGAAAATTTCAAAAATTAATAACGTGGGTTCAACCCTGGGCTGCCAGTGACAGTTGCCCTAACTGCCTTAGGGGCAAGTGCGATACATACATGCTCGCATATAGCATCGCTTGACTGACCCATGCTTGGGGCCAGTGAGTCAAGTCCGCAATCACGAGTTGCATAAACGACAGATCATGTAGAATCTCCATGGATCCAATCTGTGTACTGTAAAAGCAGAAATTTTCGGTAGTGTAATATTTTCGGAATTCTCCAAAATCGGCGATTCGGTGGAGGGAAATTTTCGGTAATACCCGCTTTCCAGGTAAGGGTGCTAGTACCACTAAGTAGTACCGAAAAAGTTCGGTGCATTTTTTCGGTAAAAATTGTCGGCACCGAAGTTACCGAAAATAAAACACCACTGAAAATTTCCGCTTTTACAGTACATCATTTTGGGTATCATGATCTCGTGTTGTTTCCTTGGGTGCTACGACTCCCTGACATCCATGGAACGGTATGAATTGGGCGATTTCAGCCAATCAGTAGACGTTCTGAGAGGGGTATATTCAACGATACACCCCGCTCAGTTCACAAGGGTCGCGCCAAGAGTGAATATTGGAAGGAGTCTTGGGAAAGTGCCCTGGGAGAAATGGATTGCACCATTCTATACATGTACTGCATTCCCCATAATTTCCTCGTGCTATGTCCTCAGGAAAATATTTAACGTATACCCTTCATATACTCATAGAATAATCCAAACGTATCTGCAGTCAACCACGGGTATAACAACCCACGGATAGTGACACTATCTTCAGACCTAGTAACAATATAGCCGTATATTTTCAACCCCGTGAATGACGACAACTCCCAAATACCAACACTTTTCTCATGCCCGATCAAGGGTCGTTCGTTACTGGCAAAGTTAGCTGGATATCATGTCATGTAGTCATTATTACTTCAGGCAGGGACAATGAAATACACCCCCCCCCCCCCCCCCCGCCCCTTTCCTGCAGAGGGAACAGTGCTGTGTCCAGGTCCGCATGCAGCATGGAGGTGCTAGTAAGTCACTGGCATCATTTTCTCTTGTGGATCGATGTACAGTGTGTGACAATGCTTCCATAACGTTAGTGGTGGTGGTGGTGGCGGGAGCATACTGCACTGCAGGGCATTACAGCACTGGCATACTATTATTTTCTCTTGCAGACGTGCCGTGCACGACAATGCTTCTATAGTGGTGGTCACGGTGATGGTAGTGGTGGTGGTGTGGTGGTGGTGGTGGTCACAGTGGTGGTGTGGTGGTGGTGGTGGTGTGGTGGTGGTGGTGGTCACAGTGGTGGTGGTGGAGGTGGTGGTGGCGGTGGTGGTGGCGGCGGTGGTGGCGGCGGTGGTGGCGGCGGTGGTGGTGGCGGTGGTGGTGGCGGTGGCGGTGGTGCTGCTGGTAGTGGTGGCGGCGGTGGTAGTTGCGGTGGTGGGAGCATTCTGCACTGCAGGGCATTAAAGCAAGCTCGATTGTGCATGCATGGTGGCGGTGGGAAAGAGGAGCTAAGGAAAGTGTGTACATATTTTTGTTGAAAGCACGAGAATTCAAAGAAAGCTGGCTGCTTCCTCTATTTCCATGGTCGGCCAGTGCCTGCAGCACGAACAGTACATTGTATTACATGTATGTGCATAGACAGACAAATAAACACTAACCTGAGCATGGGTACCGCTTGTATTCGTGGTCAGGAAAGTGAAAGTACGAACGAAGGAGAAGAAGATTGTTGACCATGGCGAACAACTGCATATCCAGAGGGCACACGGCTTGCCAGAATGGGTCGGCTACATCTTCGCTAATTTTCTATCCTAACAACATTCAGCTTCGAGATCAAGGACGACGGCATTTTTGGAAAGAAATTTCGAATTTTGGAGAAGAAGCTTGCTTTCGGAAAAATGTTCCTTTCACGCAAGGCAGCATGCCAGGTCTGGTCAGGCGTGTGAACCAGGTGAACTGTGTCGGCAGCTCCACGTTTACGTTCCAGGCCGACAGTTTTTTGACCAAGCCGTGAATCGCCCTCGCTCTGACTCCCCCGGCTACGAAGGAGTAATTTTACAACTCTTCAGGCCAGCTACAGGTCTCTGATACAGAGCCGCAAGTGACGGATATCGGTCATTTGCAGCCACTACTAAGAGCCTCCTGGTCGTTGCAATCTGATACATAATATACCTCTTATATGAGGTATATTATGTATCAGATTGCAACGACCAGGAGGCTCTTAGTAGTGGCTGCAAATGACCGATATCCGTCACTTGCAGCTCTGCATCAGAGACCTGTAGCTGGCCTGAAGAGTTGTAAAATTACTCCTTCGTAGCCGGGCGAGTCAGAGCGAGGGCGATTCACGGCTTGGTCAAAAAAACTGTCGGCCTGGAACGTAAACGTGGATCTGCCGACACAGTTCACCTGGTTCACACGCCTGACCTGGCATGCTGCCTTGCGTGAAAGGAACATTTTTCCGAAAGCAAGCTTCTTCTCCAAAATTCGAAATTTCCTTCCAAAAATGCCGTCGTCCTTGACCTCCAAGCTGAATGTTGTTAGGATAGAAAATTAGCGAAGATGTAGCCGACCCATTCTGGCAAGCCGTGTGCCCTCTGGATATGCAGTTGTTCGCCATGGTCAACAATCTTCTTCTCCTTCGTTCGTACTTTCACTTTCCTGACCACGAATACAAGCGGTACCCATGCTCAGGTTAGTGTTTATTTGTCTGTCTATGCACATACATGTACATGTAATACAATGTACTGTTCGTGCTGCAGGCACTGGCCGATCATGGAAATAGAGGAAGCAGCCAGCTTTCTTTGAATTCTCATCCTTTCAACAAAAATATGTACACACTTTCCTTGGCTCCTTTTTCCCACCGCAACCATGCATGCACTGCTTTTCAAATTTGTGTTTGCTTTGGCAGTGGTTTCATGGGCATCCTTCAGCCTTCCCTGGCATTCAAAATTCAGAATAGTTTCCACCCAGGTGCTAGTGCCTCTGTTCTGCTTAGCACATTGTAGTAATATTATTTGCAACTGTCCACCACTGCACTCTTGGCTCACATTCACCACACCATAGCGAGGAAGTTTGTTCTTGGATAGATGTCTGGAGGATGTAGAGCATCTATCCAAGAACGAACTTCCTCGCTATGGTGTGGTAAATGTGGGCCAAGAGCGCAGTGAGGAGAGGTGGACAGTTTCAAATTATTTAGCCACATCCGATCCTTTCTCCGATAATTATGGACATGTTTTACTATACCGGTATATTGAATGTCCACTCATGCTTCTATTGAGAGGTAACACTATTCAGGAAACTGAGGAAAGCCAACCGGTGTTGCACAGGATTTGAGGTTGGAAAGAAAAGATGTTCCGATAAAAGAACTGCGAGTACATGGGAAACGTATTATGGAAAGGGCAGTCTGAGTCGAACTAGGATCTCCTGTTCCAGAGCGTGAATATGAATAACGTGAAGTCGCGGATAAAAGCCGGGTTTGCATACAAGCACATCGCAGATAGGAGCCTGAAAATCAAACGGGTCGAATGCATATAAGCCCGTCGCGCGTAGAAGCCTTGCTCTATGCAAGCGCGGATCGGGTGGGTCAAGAGTGCATGCGCTATGTATGGTGCATAGTCAAACTGCCGCCATACCGGTAGTCAGTGGTAGATCTACGCGTGTCGCACGTAGAAGCCTGGCATACAAGTCTGGCAAAAATATCAGTGGTGCATAATAAGCATGGTTTGCATTAAAACCTGATGGAGAAAGCGGCTTATGTGCTTATAAGCCCGGCTTTTATCCGCGACTTTACGGTACAGTAGAATGCCGATATTCCGAACAATCACTTATTCGAAATGCCAGTTTTCATATTGAGGAGCTAGAGTGTGTCTAGTTCCTGTGAAGAGAATGTGAGAAATGATGGAAACGTGAAGGAGTGTGCAAGTCTTAGATGGATGTGTGACTGTTCCGTTATCCGAATTTTTCCCCATCCGAACCCCCTGGAGAAAGCGTGCGCCCGAGGGGTGCGGATAATCTACACTCTGCTGTAACAGTTATGTACAATGCGTGCCGATGCACATTGGACAACGTTGCAAATGTATAATTGTAGGTGGACTGTGGTTCACATTAGACGATCGGAGTACTCCCACCAAACGAAGAGAGCTCAACATCACAAGGTAGAGCTTGCATGTACAATCGAAAAAGAGTACATATACCATTTTAATAGCTGATGTTGTTAGTGTGCGTTACGAAGTCTGAAGAAAATGTTGAACGATCTCGGCTGGGATGACGGCTACACCTTAGCTCAGTGATTAGAGCATCGCTGGCCTCAAGCGAAGGTCCCTGGTTCGAATCCTGGTGGTGACAGTCAATTTTTCTTCAGACCTTTCCCGTTTGTGCCTTTCCCTCTAACCAGTGAATATTACTGTTAGCTTCGTACTTTGAGTGATTATCACTTACAGTTACATATACAATGTACTTGATAATTTCTTAGCGCATGATAATCGGAGTCAGTACCACAATATTCCTCCCTCACTATATGAGTCTAGATACTTTGAATGTGGAACAGGGTCCAGGACAGGATCGTCTGCTCTATCCAAATTATGGCCTGGTTGCAATTTGTCTATTTACCAGCAGGTACATACTAGGGAGTCATAGCACCTACACTGTAGGGAGACTACACAATACTTTATAGAATTTTGGGTCAGGATTTGGAGGTTCTCCGTGATCTGTGCAACCCGCGATCACGGCCTTGACCTACTGACCCTGAGAACGGCCCAGGTTAGCAATACCATGTACGAGCGTGTATAGATCTGCCCAATGGTGCCCCAAGGGTGGCTGAAACAGGAACCCCTGGGTCGAACCCCATGTCATTTAGCTTTACGGTCGCCTGTGTCGTCTACCTAGATGCTACAACTCCTTGCGTTGCACCCAGTAAATGCAGCACATCAAGTATACAGCCATGTAGTGTTGGTTGTCACCTGTTCTGATCGTGTGATATCACAAACAATCTTCTACGGTCCATTCATTTTTAACTTGGCACGTTAGGGGCCGTCCATAATTATCTATCTTTAACAGATTGAGTATCTTTAACACAAAACGAGAAAAAAATCGTTCATGGGCAAGAAGTCAAGAAGGGTTTCGTAATGAAAAATATTGATAGCTGAAACACTAGTCCATTCCAGCTATTTTTCGTTGAGGGGTGAGTAGGTGGGGGTGGGGGACGGTCACAAGTTACTCACAACTAAACTTTTCATTTCGTGAAAATTATCGATAATGCCGGGTCCATAATTGTCGATCTTTTACACGAAGAGAAAAAGTTTCGTTTGTGGGTGGGTCAAGGGGAGTTTCGTTTCGAAAAAATATTGATATTACAGACATCAATCGGGGGGGGGGGGGGTCCTTCTTTCATTTCGTGAAAATTATGGATAATGCTGGATAGCTCCTTTAGTCTATGCAATAAAATAGTTGTTTTCTTCACACAGTACCGTAAAGTTTAAACAATATCCGGCCATGTTTGTACCGAACGTTTTTTCGAAAGGTAATTTCTCAAATGTTGCCTTGAGTACATTCTCAGCAACATAGCAGGCCAGTTTCAAATAATTGGACTGCAAACTTGCATCGCTGGTTGTTGCAGCTCCATCACAGGTCGTATCACGGGAAATTGAGTCCAGCTTCACTTCTAGGTTGGGTGACACGTGATGGGCATCACTTCCTGCATGCTGGTGCATGTGACTCAAGAGCTCTGGCTGGCAAGCAGTTTTAGACTGCAGGTGCAATACAAGATTTTTCTGCGATGTGCTATGCATTGTGCATTGCATTTCTCGAGAGACACTTCACGCTATGTGAAAAAAAGAATTTCGCTCAATGTGGTATTGTGCATCATGCAGTGCAACTTTCCCACAAAACTGGACTCAAAGCACCTTATAGCTGTGGTTCACAGCAAAGATTTTCCTATTTGCGACTCTTGGTTTAATGGGTGCAGTAGCATGCATGTGCCTGGTGATAGTGTTGCAATGGATCATAGTGAGGGCGTAGCAGTACTTGTGCACTGATAGTTGGTAATGGCATGAGTACATAACCAAGAGTGGGCAACTCGATGATCCCTCTGCCCACGGCAGAAAGTTTCATCACTTCGGTTTTTGTGGGCCATTGGGCTCACTAATACCATCATGCGTAGCCAGAGATCAAAACTTGTACATCACAGCTACGGTAGTTGAAGCAGAACAATGAACTGTGGATCCATGCCTACTGAACCTGATGAAACACTCTATCTACATGGCACATGTAGAAATATATGCGCGCTTGCTCATAATCATTGGATTTCGAAGCCGATCGCACCTTATGTTAGTAGTTGCACATTCTTAGCAGTTATGTAGTTTGATAATAAAGTTACGATAGATTATCAATACTGGTGGAAACGTTATGCTGGTTGCATATTTTGTACCCGGTGTGCCGTGACCAGGTATGCTAATCCATCGGATATTAGCAAGTTTGCCTGCCTGCTGGGTGTTGTATCTTAGCTTCACTGTACTACAAATACAATAGGCTTAGTTTTCCTAAATTGCTTCTTTATAACATCCAGTTTGTTTTGCTGCAACCTTTTCATGTGTTTTGCAGGATTGTAGCCAAGGGTGAATACCATTATCATGAGCGAAGGTCTCTGAGAACTCATGTCTGAAGGCTGGTCATGTTGGCCCAACGATGACTTTCATTGCCTGTGTCCGCCACCTTCATACTGGAATGAACTGGAACATGTTCACTCTCTGTTTCTCATGTGGAAGGACGGAACAGATTGTTTGTCTGTCTCTGTGGATCACC